CTCTGGAAGGTGAGCAGACTCGATGACCTGAAACCATAACTGTCTAATAAAAGTTTCAGTTTTTATATACTTCTGGATTTCCATCAAACAAATTTAAGACGTTGTAATTGAAGAAAATTGCAATTCTGGACATTGCGGATGTTACGTTGCCCATTGTGGAACCTTTTTACTTGCCGCCGTGTCACTACACTTTGTCTTAGTCGCGTAAGATGATGATTTTCTTGCTGTCGATTTCTTTTTGCTTACGTACGACGATATTGTTCGTGCTAGAACTAAAGGATCGACCTAAGTCCACAGCAGTGTAAAGTCCAAGTTTTACATGTCCGGATTTCCATCAAATAAATTTTTAAGGCCTTACAATGGAAGAAAAATGAAGTTCTGGGCGTTGCGGACGTTACGTTGCCCGTCATGGAACCCAGTTACTTGCGTCGACCAAAGTATCGCCGTAATTTGTCGGTTTGGTTATGATGATTTTCTTGCTATGGATTTCTTTTCGGTCGAGTACAATGATTTTCTTATGATGATGATTTTCTTCTATGATGATTTTCTTGCTATGGATTTCATTTTGGTCGGGTACGATGGTGATTTTCGTATTGGAACTAGAGGATCATCGAGCTCTAAATATCACCGAATATCCCGTTGATGATATTTACACCTCGATCTTTTTTAGCTTGATATAACCCACTTCGGTTACCATGTGTGCTTTTTTCACTTCCTCACTCGAAGTATTAGCTGTTATTACGGCCGACATTTGCAGTGATGTTGATACTTAAATTCAGGACTCCATTAAAATTTATTCTGACAGTGAGGTGTATCGTACTGCATGTGATGGAGCTGTTATACATGAATTTCCATAACAGTTCCAAATCTGTTCACCTGATGGACTAAACGACTTGTAGAAATCTACTGCAGTACAAGCTCATTGAACGCTATTTTCATTGTCTGCTGCAGGAATCGCGATATTTTAAGCAAGTTGATGGAATTCATATGGTTTGGCTAGTTTTACATATCAATTTTATGGTACTGCCAGAACCAGATGGAACCAGCTGCGAAGAAAAACGCAGAAGTGAAAACTACTACCTGTACGTAAGTTACTGCTTTTGAATAATATTATTTCAATGTTTTTTTTTTAAACAATCCCTTCTCCTCTTCATTTCCTTGCTTCTCAGCTTTTCGTATTTCTCGTTCTTTACTAAAATCTCTTTATTTTGGTCTCGCTCAAATACGCTTATTTCATATACGAAGAGTGAGAGGCTGTACTGACGATTCTCAGTCCCATTTGCGCTCGGTACATTGTCTGTGTTTACAGCTAAGGGATGAAACGCTGACCGCAGACTGATTTGACATTTTATCACATGTGAAATTTTCATACGTATTGAAAAATTTTACCTTCCTTTTCTAGCCTACTCGAATAATACAGTCTTTTTCGTTACCCCTTATCATCCTATTTATAGTAGTTTTTATTATTCTACCGTAATTCCTTAAAATTTTATTTTAAAATAGTGTTTTTGCTATTTTCAGGATCCATGGTGTCCATCAACAGAAGCAAGTTTGTTTTTGCTGAATTTAGGTGTGAATACTCAGTTTTCGAAAAGGATGGCTCATTTCCAGTTCTGAGAACTCGCTGACCGAAACCAGATCTCTCTGTAAAGTCGTTCTCATTTGTTTCAGTACTTTACCAATCATCTCAACACGAAATTTAGCGCCCATCAATACAGTTACTTTTTGAGGTAATTTTTTCGTTTTCTAGGCAAACTGAGGTAGTCTTTGTCTCAGAATCCTTATTTTAGTACCACTTCCAGCAAAGTACAAGAGTTTATTTCTCGTGACAAGTTACAAACTCCTTACATGCAGTTAATTCCAAGAGTACCAAGACCGCTTGGGCTATCAGTGTAGGTATCCCCTGCTAATGATGTTACTAAATTGCTCCTGCATGTCGGGCGCAGTCACTAAGGAATATAAATTTAAATAAATAGCGGCGCGCATCAGGGTAGCCGGTGTGATCATGCGTTTTGTGCAATTCCGTCCATCGAACGATTGCCTTCTAATGATTTTCACTACTGTGAA